ACCCACTGATGGCAGGTTGAAATCCCCCAAGACCATAAGTCTGGGGGTTCCAACCGCCACCCCGGCTATCACGTCAGCCAGCTCAGGCAGGGCTGTTGATACATAGCAGGGAGCCAGGTATATAATCAACAAGCCCACTTGTACCCCTTGCCCCCATTTCACAAGGAGGGACTCCACGCCGTCTATCTGAGGCACAGTGATCTCCCTAGGACAAAGGCCCTCCCTTATAATGACCGCTACCCCCCCGCCCCTACCCCGGGTCCTCGGCTGATGAAATGCCTGAAAACCTGGTGGGCAGATGTCTACAAGAGGTGCTTGTAGACATGAAGCTTCATGTGCTCACCTGCTGCTTTGGTGGCCTAGTTCCCAAAGAGCTATGGCCCAGTACCAGTCCATGGCCTGCCCTAGAGGCTTTCCAAGACCATATACACCTCTCTTTGGAGAATATGAAAATATATGAAAAATTATGTAAAACTTTTTTAATGCATAAAATATATGTAAAGGTTTTCTAGCCTTTGGTGCTGTGTATTCTAAGGGTCAAGTTGCATACATAAATCCTCAGTTATAAGCATATATACATATATTTCACTGGGTTGTAGAAGTCTTAAAAGATTGTTTGAGAAATCTTGTAAGAGTTTGGATCATATTCTGCTTTGAGTGGAATTTCTTGAAAAAAGCATAAGAGCATGATTGATGTCGATGTCTATTGAAGCTGGTAAGGAAATCAGGTTTTAACCTATAACGGGTCCCCAACCTCCGGTCCATGGACCAGTACTGGGGCATGGGATGCCAGCAACCGGTCCGCACAAACAAGGAAAGCCCCATCCTCAGGATGCAGGCAGCACACAAAACCACGCCCCTTCCGGTCTGTGGAAAAACCTCTCTCCACATAACCTGTCCCTTGTGCCCTTAAGGTTGGGGACCTCTGGCCTATAACATTTAATAAAATGTAGTTAAAAGCAGCAGAGTTAATGAAGCATAATTAGATTATGCTCTGTTTCAGGTAGACAGGTAGATTACCCTACCACTGCATGTTAACTTTTCTAAGAAATTAACAATGACATCAAAATTGAATGTATAATACAGCTATTAATTTGAATTCTTTGTAAGCATTCTCAAGTGATTCCTATATATTTGGAACGTGTAATTGTAATTCTGTCTTCTGATCATCTTGATCAGTGTCCAAATATTGATGAACAGTATTTCTACCAATGTCTGAAATAAAAAGAACATAAATAACAGAAAGTGACCTTTTGGGAACAAAGCCTGTGTAATGGTAGATAGGAATAACTTTGCAAGACGGGAAAAAGCCACAGCTAAGGACGGGTTGGTTAAGAGGCAACTTAGCCCACAGAAGTAATGAGGGCATGACAAATGTCTCAGAAGGGATCCTCCATGCTGTAAAGGTAACCGAAAAGAAAAACAGACTTGCAAGATATTGTTAATGTAACCTTATAATAAAGTAGAGCTAATACTTCAGGGTGAGCTTCTTGTATGGACCACCTCCAAGGTTGATATCCTGTTACACATTCAGTCTGTAGTACCCTCCATTTGATGCATTGAGTTCCGTTCCAGTAAACAAAGTATTTGTGATTTTTTTAGGTGATATTCTTTCTTTTTTTACCATTTAGATTTTTCCTAGGATAAAAAAGTAGATAGAAATACTAGATTCAGTCCATAAGCCTTTGAGAGCATTTCCTGTAAATTAATTTTTCATACAGTAAGGTCCCTTATTTTTTTCCTGACAAAGCCGCTTGTAAAAGGATCTTGGGTAAAAAGATTGAGAATTGGCCTTCTTAACTTATTATAACTCACTACTAGTTTGGAACAGAAATGCTGGGTTAGTTGGATGAACATCTGGATGTGTACAAAGCATTTTCTTCATATATCATCTCTAAATAAATTTACTTTTTAACAGGAGTTGACTCCTTCTGAAGCAAATGGAGTAATTTTGAAATATGAAGTATCTATTTCAGGAAGACCGCCACTTTCTTTTCCAACTAGATATTACACTGTGAATACCACGCAACTGATTTTAAATGTACAAAATGGGACATACTATGTGAGCGTTACAGCATTTAACAAAGTTGGTAAATCTCCTACATCAGGTTTGCTTATTCCAGCAACTAATTCAAAAGGTAAAAATTTTCACATAATTTAGTGAGGGAGAAAAATTCTAAACATTAACGTTAATACTAGACCACTTTTGTTTTTCTTATGGGGGCAGTCCAATTTTATTGAAGCCAGTTTGGTTTAGTGGTTTAGGAACCAGGCGAAAAAGCAAGAGACTATGGGTTCAAGTCCTGCCTTAGTTATGAAATTCAGCTAGGTGGCCTTGGGCTAGTCACTCACTCTAAGCCCAGTTCTCATCACAGGGCCGTTATTGTGGGGAAAATAAGAGGAGGAACTTAGTACACTTTAAATTATTCAGACTAATTTGTTATTTTGAAGATTTTTCTTCTGTTTGAAATGACTATTTAAAAAAACTTGTCTTTGACTTTCTTCAAAGATAAATAAATTTAAGGAAAGATTTCATCTTTATTGCAACAACATAGCTGTAGCAATTATTTTGATTAGTTCTGTTAGTGAATAGATAAAATATTCCATTTAGGTATCTTAAATATGATACTTCTTATATATACAAGAATCCAATTAGATCTTAAAAGTTTCAGTTGAACAACTGGCTTATGATATAATAATATGATGTGGTTCTAAAATATCTGAAGAACCGTCTCACTTCAACTGACTAGCCCACCACACTTGTTCCAGTGAAAAAGGCCACCTTTGGATTCTGTTGGCCAAAGAATGTCAGTTGGCAGGGTCCATGAGAAGACCTTCTCTGCCGTGGTTCCCACACTGTTGAATATTCTCTCATCAGAGCTAAGGTTCACCCTCGCACCTCGTGGCCTTCCAGAAGAGCCTCAAAACTTAGCTCTGCTGCTTAGCTATGGGTTCTGACAGGCCTGCTATGTTGGGGGGTGGCTGACCAGCTAGAGAAAATCTCTATCCCCCAGACCGCGCATCATCTTGATTTTTAGCTTTTTTTAATTCAGTTTTTCTAATTGTAATTGTTTTTGGTACATTTTACTTTTTATTATATTGTAAGCCAGCCAAAGTTGCTCTATCAGTGAGATGGGTGACATAGAAATTTAATAAATAAAATTTCAATAGGTATTCTGTAGAATACATATTAAAATTTATTTTCCTTTCCTAAAATACATTTGCTGCTATAGGGATGTCAGATATGAGAATTTTAAAAAGTTTTAAACTATTGAACATAGCCTGTCAAGATGAGAATAGTAAAAGTGCTCTAGTATCTGAATTCTCTCTCTTGCTCTTAGTGATAAAAAAACCCTTGAAATCTTGTTCTAGTTCTAATGTTTTCTTATCTGTGACTGTAGACATCCTCTCTGGCTTGATCAGAAATACGTTGGGATTGGATTGTTCATATGGCCAGCTGTATTATATTTCAAATAAGAGTCTTCAATTGAATTTTGATGTTAAAATTAGGAACTTTTTAGAATGCTAGAATTTTCACTTTATATCTCTTGCAGAATTAAGGTTTTTTTTTTCCCTAATTTCAGCTCCTGTGAAGAATCAACAACGTAAAGGACTTCCACCGTTTGAGACCCATTTAACCTGTCGAGGGTTTCTCAGTCAATCATTTATATATTAACTTACCGTTCTTTGTACATCGTTAAATTCGACGGGATGACTTACCGTCGTCCTTGGACCGAGTTTTGTCTTTTGTAAAAATTTTCCATTGGGATCTCTTATTAGACAGTAAATATGTTACCTGAGAAGAATTCTTTAGATGCACTTATTTCCTTTTAAAATAAAACCAACTCTTTTTTTTATATGCTGTACCCACCATGCTATATCTTTTAATGTAAAAAACATGCAAAGTGCAGAAAAGGAATAAGAAATAATATGCATTTATAAATAATATAAATATAATTATAATACATCTTATAAATTTATTTATTAGAAATAGTAAATGAAAGAAATTAAGGCCTAAGACAGTGGTGGTGAATCTATGGCACGGGTGCCAGAGGTGGCACTCGGAGCCCTCTCTGTGGGCACCTGTGCTGTTGCCCCAGCCTTGCCTCCCCCCGCGACCCCCTCCTCACCAGCAGCCCCCTGGAGAAGAGTTGCCCTTGAGTGTGGCCCACGTGGAGCAGCGCAGCCAAGGACATGGCAGCCAGGCAGTGTAGACAAGACTCTGCCCTTACGTCTCATCATGCACAGTTGATGCTGCGGGGCGTGGCCAGAGGGCGTGGCTGCCATGGCGCTGCTGGGCTGCCTGTGTGACCTGTGGCGGGCCCTGGAGGCAGTGAGTGGCCCTGCGGGCAGGTGGGGGCAGGGCAAGGGATGGAGCGGGGGCGGGGCCAGTTTTTAAGCACTCGGTCTCTAAAAGGTTCGCCATCACTGGCCTAAGATATAAAAAAGAAATTAAATCTAAATCTGCAGGCTTCCTATGTTACTGGCCTTAGTCATACCTGTGGGACAAGCAGTATTCATAACTAACAGTAAAGGAGAATTTTAGCATTTCAGCATTTTCAAGCCAATATACTATTTTTCCATATAAGCTAGGACCTCCAACCTGCAAACAGCTTGCAAGCCAATATACTGTATTGTTGTAAAGTTAGAAATTAGTACAGTTTTTGTTTTCCTTTTTTTTCATAACCTGTAAGCTGCCCATAGTCACCTTGTAGGGAAGATGAGCAGCATAAAATGTACTAAATAAATAAATAAAATTGCATCAGTTAGCAGTGGGGGAGCAGGAATTTTCATGTTACAAATACATTTTTCCTCAATACAATAATTCCTGAATGACATCATTTTGACAAAGCAACTAAAATCACTATTCTGTTGCCTGATAGAATTGTGACTTAATTATGACATAAGAAATATGTTCCTTTGCTGTTCAAACGCCCACTGTATGCCCTATCAGTTTGTAGGTCATTGAACCTTAAAGAACTTTTGTTTTGATACTTTACTACAGATGCCACCTCAGCAGTGTGCTCAGAGAAAGCCTAGAAAACATCATTGGGGGCAGACTAATAAAATACGTTGTGTCCTAGAATTTTGAAACTTCTTGTGGAGCAGATTTGGAAACTGATTTAGAATTTTAGAAATAATAGGATTTTTTTGTGTAGAAGGCTGTTATTTAAAGCTTGTTATACATAAAGCAAGCCAGAATAAATGTTAGTTGTAAGGATGTCATTCCTTTTATTTTAGCTGCTAAGTAAAAAAGCTGGTAAAGGAGAGACTTTCACATGGAATTTTTTTTTCCACAAATATTCCCACATCCTTCTCTGATACTGTCAAGTGATAAATCCTTGATATCCACATTTCCGATTAATTTGTTTTGTTGAAGTTTGTTTTATACAAAGGACTATTAGCCCACTACAAGTAAAAATGGAGAAGTAGGGAAAATCCCAAATGTTTGAACATTCTCTACGTTCAAAATATTTGACTAAGATAATGTGGTTGTGTATTTTTGGCATAGTTCATTCTCACAATTTTTTTTTAAATATTAGCAGTGAGTCTTAGAATATGTATGACAGAACTAGAATTGTACTTTTGCATCAGCTGCAGCTTCTTCTAGCAACTCAGAGCAGAGATTGCTTAGAGATTTAAAATCTTATAAGTAAAGACATTATACTTTAATCAAGCATCTTTTTATTTTTAAATATGTGTTAGAGTAATCCTGCTGTTCTGATCATATTTTATTTTCTGTTTCCCCAACAAAAAGAAAATCATTTATGTATTAAATGGTTTATTTCTATGATCACTATTTCATCAAAATCCAACAGTGATTTCCCACTGAATAATCTCTTGCCTTTTGCTTTCCCTCATGCTTGCTTCTTCACCAGAAAAATAGCATTGCGTGAAAATGTAATATATTTGTCTAGTAGATGGATTGTAATGGGACACATGCAGGTAGTCCTCAACTTACAACCGGTTGTTTAAATTGAAGTTAGAAGTTACGACAGACTCAAAAAAGGGGTCTTGGATTGGGGAGCCACAGCACTACCCTTTACGTGCTCAATAACATGGCCTCATTTATGCCCATTTGCAATGTCCCATGGCCACATGTCATTTTATGACAGTTTTGCAAAAATAACCTCAGTAATTATGTCTGGTCTTCAGAAAAACTGTGTTCATAGTGAACAGATTCACTTAACAACTGCAGTGCTTAACAACACTGCAAAAAAAGTTGTTAAATCAGGTTGGTCACATCACCTACCCATTAACAGGTGTTGTGTCTTAGGATCAGTAAAGGGCAGGCTCCATTATAGTCATAGCGCAAAGACAACCTGTACCACCAGAGCTAATTTTGGAGCAATGCAAATTGTCTTCAAGCTTTATGTACATTTATTACAATTATTTATATCTTGCCTTTTAGGATAACAATAATCTTAAAGCAGCTTGCAAGCAATATTAAAAACTTGAAAAAAGGGAGAAAGTTTTCAAGCATTTCTAATGCACAAGCAACTTCTTGCTGCTGTACCTAGCAGTATCTCTGGTTGTTTTCAAATGTGTCTGAAAATAGTTACTAAACAATTAAGTTAAATTTCTCTCTATGAGGAAATATGTGTGTGAGAGGATATCTTTTGTTTCTTAATGCAAAATTAGCATTTTTAATTTATGCAAATACAACCTGTACAATTCTTTTTTTAGGAACTGTAAAGCCATACAAGTGTTACATAATAACAGTATATCCATTATATAATGGTGGTCAAGGAGAAGGAGAATCAACACAGGCCTATCTTCAACAAGATGGTAGGTTTATTACCACTGCAAGTGCTTTCTTGATGATACAGTAATTGGTTTATCATATTATTTATAAACCTTGCCTAATTTTCATTATTAATTTATACCAAAGTGGAGTACAAAACAGTAAAGCTATAGGAACTTAGCTTCAATCATAAAATATGACAGTAAGGAAAGAAAGAGAAAGAAATGGGATGCAATAACATGTATTTTTTTAAAAAAGTCTAGATAAACGATGCGCCAACTAAGATTGAGCAAGGTTATTAGACTGTAATGCTTTTGGTGAATGTAAACAGGCATTTATAAGTTTCAAAAAAAACACCTTGAACTGCTTGATGGTATGGTGTCAACTAGTGCTGCTTCTTCATAAAAGTTAATATAGTTCTAGTAAGCTGTCCCTTTAATAGCCTTTCAGCATTTTGCTCTACTTCATCTGCAGACAAATCCCAAAAGCCATTATCGGGTAATTTCTCATTTCCTTTTGTTCTGCACTTATGTAACTTACATAATAGAGCTTGTTTATGAGAGAAGTTGGTCTTTAGAAAAAAAAAACTTTTAAAAATACTTTTGATTCATAGTTCCTGCTACTGGACCTACTGTTCGAACAAAGAAACTTGGAAAGTTTGAAGCTATTTTAGAATGGGAACATCTCTCGGTGGAGGAACAAAATGGGTTTATCAAAAACTACACCATTTCTTATAGAACAGTGAATGGAGATGAAAGAGGTAATTGTGTTGTTAATTTTTAGTTATTTGAACAATATCCTAGCCCAAGGTTTCAAACTTAACTTTACGCTTTACCAGATCCAGGCTGCAAAAATTCCAAAAAAATCACTACATGGCAACAAAGGGTTATAGTTTTGATTGAGACCGAAGGTGGATCATAAGTAGATCTAAAAACACCTACTTGGAATGAACAGTCAACGAAGAACATGTGTTTCTGAGAACACCTGTTTGTCAGGACATGATACAACACCATAAGGACGGTGTAATAAGTACTTAACAATTGGAAAGTATATCTAATGACATACTTACGTGAGATGTACCCTGACGGGAACAATAATATTTAGAAGCTTTAGCTGGTGCAAAATGTGGCTGCATGAGCAGCCTCTCCATCAGCACGTATGCCTCCATTCTGTGGGCTGCCTTGGTTGCCAGTTTTATTCTGGGTGTAATTTATTTTGTAATACAAAATGCTAGTGATGATCTATAAAGCCTTTCATGTCATGGGACAGATTATTTGAGGGACCGCCTCTCTTCAGTTACATCTAATCCAATCAGATCTGGGAGGAGGGTCATGTTCTAAATCCCTTCTGCTAAGCAGCTCTGTTATGGTTCCAACTGTATGGAACATTAGTTTTAGTATTCGTCACATCTTCCAGAACAAATTACCGACAGGTACTGAGTTGCCATCATATTTCATCCAATACAGTATGTGCATGTTACGATATGCAGTAATATTAATATTGAGCTGACCATCTCAATGCGTAACTACAGGCAGCTCATATTTTGACAGAATTAATAAAATTAGAAATGAAGGATGAACTATACTGAGATCAGATCTAAATGTTCTTATTTGGATTAAGGTTAGAGAAAACTAGTTTGGATAGATTTAATGTAAAATATTGTCAATCCGTTTTTTTTAATTTCTAGTTGTGGCTGTGGACCCTTCGAAAACAGAGTACTTACTATCATCTTTATTAAGTAATACTTTGTATGTTGTGCATATGACAGCATACACAGAAAGTGGAGGAACAGCTGGTCCTCAGTTTACATTTTCTACAAATAGATTTGGTAAGTTTTTGTATATAAATATTTCAATTTTTAAAATAATCAGCTTGGGATGAAATGCCTCCTAAGTACCCATTAGAGTTCCTCCTTTTTTGGACCACTTGAAAGTCATGTATAGATGATTTCATTACTTCGTTCTATATTACATACCCTGGGAATGTGACATAATTCACAAATCAGGTGATTTATTTGTTTTTGTCGGAGGGGTTTCTTTTGTTTTGCACAATATGTGAATTTAAACATTATGGTTAAGGATAGGTATGATCCAAAAGGATAGGTATGATTCATTTGTTATTTTAGAGGTTTTTTACATTGTTTTTAGGTAAACTAATAAACATTTGAAGAAAATGTGCTGATTTCCTTTTGCGTTTTTTCTTTTTCAGAGGATGGAGAAATAGAAGCAATAGTTGTTCCTATCTGCATAGCATTTCTGCTACTTACTTTATTGGGTGTATTAGTTTGCTTCAGCAAACGAGATACGTAAGTATCCTTAGTGGTACTATCTTGTACAGCACCATATATTCAGCACAATGCAGGTCATTCTTGATTGAGCAAGGGAGGGAGGGCTACATTGGTACTAATGTACATGTGTGTGTGTATATTGTGTAATTCTGAATATCACTTGTTATTTTTTTACTTGAGTTTTTATTATTTTTCTCCAGCATTAAGAAACACATCTGGCCTAATGTGCCTGATCCTTCAAAGAGTGTGATTGCTCAGTGGTCACCACAGACACCAGCTAAGGTAAAAGGAAAAAAACAAAATTGGATTATAAACTAATTAACAAAAATATAAAAATGGGAGAGGCAATTTTCACTATTGGCTCCAGATGTGACATCCTCCCCTAATGCCCTGGGGTTGATTTATGGAGAGCTATATGATTGGGGAAATCGAAAAAGAGCAAAATATCTCCTCCTCCATTCTGTCAACCTAATGTTGAATCAGAGTTTACATGGAGAAAAGAGGCTGTTGCATTTGATGAAGAACTTGATTGGAATCCAGGCCAAATCTTCAACTAAATGCAAAAATGTAAATATTTTCTTATATGGTATATTTTAAAAAAGCAATCCTAATATATTAGAAGATTCAATATATAATAACCTAATTTTTAAAAAATCAAAAGGACAAATCTTATATACTATGCAGAACTGTCAGGCATGTACGGAGAATAATGTAAATTCAGCAGAACTTACATTATCTGGTATAACTTGTATTGTGAAAAGTTTCATTCTCAGATCATGTGTTTTAGTAATGAACATTTCAGGGAGATAGAGACCAATCTGAAAGGCCAAAGAGGCACTTCGTTAATTTACTACTGAAGAAGCTCGACTTTCTGACAGAAAGAAAGGAATGATGAGGGCAGACTAAAGATAACATCAAATGAATGTAGTTTTGATTTAAAATCAAATTGCATGACAGATAATTACAATGACATTTTTGTCTTTTTTTTTTAAAGCATTTTAATTCAAAAGAGGAAATATATCCAGAGGGCAGTTTTACTGATGTCAGTGTTGTAGAAATTGAAGCGGAGGACAAGAAATCCCTCTCAGATCAAGATCTGAAGCCTTTCGACTTGCTTAGGAAAGAGAAGAGCGCCTCAGAAGGTCACAGCAGTGGTATAGGAGGTTCATCCTGCATGTCTTCTCCTCGACAAAGTGTTTCGGATAGCGATGAAGGGGAACCTGCTCAGAACACTTCCGGCACTGTGCAGTACTCAACTGTAATACCCAGTGGCTACCGGGATCAAATTCCTTCAGTGCAAGTCTTTGCCAGATCTGAATCTACACAGCCTCTCTTAGATTCAGAAGAGAGGCCAGAGGATCAACAGATGCTTGGAAATGACCACTCAGTGCCCAAGCAGCGCTACTTCAAGCAAAATAGCAGCTGCGATGACACGGCCACAGATTTCGAAAAAGCGAAACAGATTTCTCCAATAAGTGAGGAAGATGCTGCCAGGCTGCCAGCATCACAAATGGGTGGATCTGGCCCAGAAACAGATGAACAAGGGAAGGACTTAATAGGTGCATTTTCTCCTAACCTAATGGAACAGGCTGGGCAGCTTGAAAATAACATAGATATGGTAACCAATGAAGAGATGCCCAAAAGCTACCTTCCGCAGACTGTACGGCAAGGTGGTTATATGCCCCAATGAAAAGACAATACTGTTTTGCCATTGCTCTGTTTTTTAAAAATTATGTTTCAGGTGAAAATCAGGCTCATCTATGGAAGATAATTTGGACAACATGAGATTTGGGAAACTTGAAAAGACTTTTAAAGGAAAATTTCTAGACTTCTACTGATTTTTTTCCTTCAAGCACTACATATATTCAATTTCAGAGATACGTTTATTACATTTCAGTTTTGTCCTGGGCATTCCACTTTGTTTTTAATGTAGAATATAAAGTTACATTCATTTGCATAAAGACATATAGGCCAGGAGTTGATAATTGCAAATATTTCCCTACAGTTAAGACCATAAGAGGTTAAAACGTACATTATGAATGCTCCATTTGTGATTGTCTAGCACCAACTTTTCAAAAATAGTGTTTTAATTACAGTGAGAGTTATCCAGAAGCAAATAGTTTACTGCCTATCTGGCCAAACATAATTGCCTCAGACAGAATATAAACATTACATGGGTTTAGTTATAGCTCCAATAATTAACTAACTAGAAATGTTTTGTTTGCTTGGGCTCTTTCTCTGACCGTAGCATGTTACTCATGTCAATCAAGGACTGCATTAATTGAGTGAATTATCAGCTAATTGAATCATGATTATGTCAAAAAGTTGACTGGTAATATTTCACGTTGACTTTTGACTGCCAGTATTTCATGCCTTTTGTATCTTGCACTTTGAGCCATATCTGCAGAAATGTAAATACTACATTTGGAACCCAATCCTACAAAGTTAAATCTCTGTATATGCTTATTTTTATTACCGTATCATAATTAGAGGCAATTGTTACTAAAGAGGAATATATACTTTTCTTTTGCTAACTGCTAAAATGCCAGGTTCTGGTATTCCTTCCTGTGCATAATTATGAAGGCTGGAAACCACACAGCTGGGTTATTGAAGACACTATGCTGAGCCGTGGTCTTTGTTTTGCAGTTCTTTTTGCTCCAACGTATGAAGACATTTATTTCTTGGAAATATCAATTCCTTTGGTTCATACAAGTTTATTAAAAACAAATTTCCACAATGCATTAATAGCCTGAATGTCTTTTGATGCAGTCCAGGAACACTAAAATTGCATAAGAATTAAAGATTATTTGATTGTTTTTTAACAATTTCAGTATGTATATATTGAAACTTTAGAGATCATCACCTTGATTACTCTCATGTTCCTCTTTGGGGGGGGGGTATTATTAGTAATAGCTGACATTTATACAGTAGAGAAGCTGATAAGTTATACACCACAAGCTCAAAATATAACCACAAATATATTTAATCATTTTCAAAGTTTCAAATAATCTTAAATGGCCTTATTTTACTCTTTTTCTGCATATGTCATTGTAATATTTTCATGTTTGGAAATGAAGTCAATGCAAGCCTAGTTAATCACAGGTTTATTATGATTTGGCTGTTCACAGTTTGTTTTCACTTTGTCAGCAACTCAAATCATTTTTTGAAAGCTAACAGTTTAATGCCTATTCATTGAAACTATCCTACACTGAATCCTAGAAAATGAAGAACAGAAATTGTTCATTGATGAAAACGGAATGAATTGTAAACATAATCCACAATTCTTGCCAAATTGTCCTCAAATCTTTTCTAAGTGTAATGGAGAAACTTGACTTCCTATCTTATGGGGTAGTCAGTCTATTATTTTGTATCTCTTTCCAACAAATTAAATGTCACTGCTGCAGGTGAAAACCCTTTTCAATGTTTTTTAATCTGTTTATCTCAATCCACCATGTAAGCAAACCATTTTGAACATGTTTCCTCTTAAATATAGTAAATAGAAGCCACCAATTAATTTTATAATTCCTATATTCTAATTGTGGAATGCACAAAGCGTGCCCATTAACATTCTACAAAAGCACCATTATCTAAATTGGGAGAATGTTATATGATATGGTGTTATTCAAAAAACAGATTACATCACAACAATGTAACTTCAAACATATAAGAATGGTGCTCAGAATTGTATTACAGTATTACTTCCTTATAATTTCTCCAACCTTTTGACCACCTGTATTAACCTCATAGATTTTTAGGTGGAAAACCTTTGCATAGTTAATCCCCACTTACAGTATACAGTATAATAGAGCATTTTCTCAAGTTCACAATTACTACTTCAATCCAGAAAATAAGTAGAACATTGTAACTGTCTCAAAAAAAAACCCTGCTAGCAAAAAAGGGCTGGTTTGTTTAAAACTGTCAAACTGGCTTAATTATTATTTAAAAAATGACCTTCAACCCAAGTTTCCCCAAAGAGGCTTTTAATCTGAACAAAGCTCAGTGTATTGGGCTTTGCTTTCTAAAGATGGATTCCCCCATGGAAAAATTTGATCATTGAAGCAGAGACAGCCTTCCTTCAAGACTGGAGTCTTTCTTGATCTCCAACAGGGAAAACCCATCAGTCCTCTGACTCCTGCTGGAACAGTATTTTTTTTCAAACTTGGCAGCTTTCCGATGAATGGAAAGCTGGCTGGGGAATTCTGTGTTGAAGCCCAGTCAACTTAAGGTAGCCAAGCTTGAAAAACATTGATGGACTATCACAGGGGACATATTTCAGCATAAATATATTTTCACAAATTTGATTTGTTATATTTTAAGCCTCAATTTCTTCATTACTACGAAACAAATTAATCCACCTATCGTGCCAATTATTTTTTAAGTTAAACATGACTCCAGTGTTGGAACACAATTATTTTTGTTGCAATTTATATATTCTCATGGTATGTAGCCCTTAATTTTACCATTATTGTGAACATCCACTGACGTCGACTTGGTGTTAAATTCTGCTGAATAAAATCCCTCAGATAAATTGAATGTTGGGTTGTTTTAAAACTATTTGCCTGTGATTGAATAAATTAGGTACAGAATAACATTATATAGCATTTTTAACGGAAATAGTTCAAAGTAATTCTGTACCTTGGGTTTTTTAAATACAATTAAGTAGCAAGGATTCCAAGTTTAATTTTATTGCATCTGAAGGTAATTGATATGATTAGGAAAGTATTTGTTTAGTCAGTTAAATTTATAATCAGCTTCCTTGCATATCAAGAGGAATGTTGCTCTTGATGTCTTAAATGTGAAGACAGATTAGTAGGAAAGGAAGAAAATCCAAGAAAAGTTATGATGACTTTTTAAGGGTCTTCTGCTTTTTTGTTCTGACTTTTACCTCAGGTGAAAGCAATAATTTAACTTAAATGTTAGTATATATCAAAGCAGTTATTAATAGATGTAAAGACTGCATAAATAAATAAGCTGCTTACTTACAGAAATATCCATTAAGAATGGAAAAAATCTTGTCTATCAGGCAGGACTGTCCACAGGATGTGGTCAAGAAAGACAAGATGGTGGCCACAGCAATGCAATGCCTATTTTATTGTGGCCACCATTTTAATTTTTTTTACTACATCCTGTGGACAACCCAATGATGATGACTGGATCTACTCATGGCTTGCTATGTAATTGGTGACTATAGCTAATTAAAAATAAGAGGCTATTTGTGACATTAAATCATCCCAATATCACTATGCCTCATTAAAATTGGTGTCCCTCCATTGGACCTTTATGGGGCAGCTTGATAATTTTTTATTCTTTTTGTCCAATTACCAGTTGTAAAGAAATATTAAAAATGATTTAATAATTGTAAATTATAATTGAATTGTATGTTGCTAAAGTCAAAGAATTGTTAAGGTGAAAGGAATCAGGAAATGCTCTTTTTTTTTTTTGCATGACAAAGTAGCACTGATTTAGACTATAGACTTTTGCAAACTATTTCAGTAGATACATGTCTTGATTAACATACCTTCCTCAGACCTGCTTCCTATTCCATTATTTCTATCTACTAGATACATATCCAAGCATCTGGTATTGTAAACTAAAATATTAGATTGATTAATATTTATAATTTACTTCTTGGTCCTTCCATGTAACAGATTCCTTCCCTATGGACAATGGAACTGTAAAAGAAGATGCCTTTATACCCAGCACTTAACTGAAAAGCATAAGACCAAAAAAAACCCAACCCTCTTTTTTTTATATACATATACAAAAGAAGCCAAAGGCAGAAATCTGCTTTGTTCAAAAAATGAGGGGTTGGCTTGATGTGAAAGGACTAGGGTAGAACTCAGAATATACTTTATAGAAGCTTATAAACAGCACTTACATTTATCAAATATAGTTGAAGAGCATTCAGTCCTAGATTTAGAGTAAGGAAATAGGAAATTGCGCATTTTAAAAAGTATTGTATTTGATTTGCAGTTTAGAGTTAATCTATTAATAGTGCAATTTACTGAAAGTAGTCATAATGTTTTAACAATGTGTGTTATCTATCTGAACATTTACAGCAGCCAAAATCCTCTTTGTACTTTTGCAAGAAGTGAAAGAGCTTGTATTTGGCACATGTTGTTTACGTGCTGGTACTAGCTGGTTACTAGGAAGAGTTCACATTGCCATTGCCAGAAATAGTTGCTTCATCTTTTTAACAATTTCAGTGGACACATCATGCTGATTGTATCTCTGCCCATGAATGGAAGAGAACTGTTCTAAGTGACCTAAGTTATAACTCTATTGTATAAGTCAGGGGTCCCCAACCCTGGTATGTGGACCAGTTCCGGGCCATGGCATGCCAGCAACCGGGCCACACAAACAAAGCCCCATCCACAGGATGCAGGCAGCACACAAAACCATGCTCCCTCCGGTCCTCAGAAAAAACTCTCTCCATGGAACCGGTCCCTGGTGCCCAAAAGGTTGGGGATTTCTGGTATAAGTTGTCTTCTGGTGCCTAAGAAACTAAGAGTTAAATTAAAAAGAAAGCAAAATCCACCTTAAAAGTATGAATAAGACAATTCTGCTGCTGTTGTTGCACTGAATGTGTGAGGAATTCTGGGAGTTGAAGTCCACAAGTCATAAAGGTCAAGTTTGAAGACCCCTGGTATACACATTCATTATTTGATCTGAAAAATCTGCAGATTCTTTACCTGTTGCTGGTCATTATAGCCAATTCATTTTGTATAATGTACCAGTTATCAGGGCCTTTAACCTTTCTATAAAGCTGTCCTAATACCCCTTCCTCATTATGTGAATGCATGTTTGTTACCGTATAAATGTGAAAACACTTGTTGGCATTTGAATTTGTAGCTTTCAGTCTTTTCCCTGAATTGCCATTTATGTATTTCTTTGAAATCCATCTATAAACAATTACAAAATTATTAAAAGAGCTATTATGTTGTTTGTATTGTTGCCTTTTTTCATTATAAATTTTTTATTGCTTTTAAAATAAAAAAATAATTTGTCATGTATTTTTCTATTGCTTTTTTTCAGATATTTTTACACTAATATAAGAATTACTTTTGCTAATGTAATAATTATACTACTAGTATAATTCACCTTGCTTGCAAAATAGTGGGAGAGATTAAAGCTGTATGGATTATCAAGACACATTATTTTAGAAGCTGGAAAATCATCTAAAAACAATTTACAAAACTTCTTTCTATAATATGCAAAAGCATGCACTGAATGCTGCTATACCAAATGACAAATGCTATTTTATTTAAATTATGTTGATATTGCTTCACATTTAAAAAGGAACGGCATCAAAGAAAAAACTGCAGTTTTTTAAAACAAAATCAATATTTAGCACATTACCAAAAGGCCTGGGAGAATGAAAAAGGCCAGGCATAATCCAACCATAACTAACTAGGAGGACATTCCATAGTCTAGAGATTACCAAGGAAAATGATAAAGTATTTAATTTTTTTGTTTTGTTTCAATTTTGCTTACAAGCATGAAGAAACTGAAAAAAGAAAAAATTAACAAAGGAACATAATATACATATATAAGCAACGGATGGAAACTAATCAAGGAGAGAGGCAACCTACAACTAAGGAGAAATTTTCTGACAGAACAATTAATCAGTGGAACAACCTGCATCCAGAAGTTGTGAATGCTCCAACACTGGAAGTTTTTAAGAGACTGGACAGCCATTTGTCTGAAATGGTATAGGGTTTCCTGCCTGAGCAGGGGATTGGACTAGATGACCACCAAAGTCCCTTCCAACTTTATTATTATTTTTAAGTAATATACTTAAGAAAAATATGTTTTTAAACAATGAATTAAAAAATGGAAACTATGCAACATTTGATCAATGCAAAATTTTAAATTAGTATGGCAGTCTTCAACT